GTGTGTGTGTGTGTGTGTGTGCGTGCGTGCGTGCGTGCGTGCGTGCGTGCGTGCTGCAGCTGGCTGATTTGCAGACGGATAATGAGGATTTGCAGCGCTCTGTGCAGCAGCTGAAGAAAAAGTGCCAGAAACTGACTGCCGAGCTGCAGGACACCAAGCTTCATCTGGAGGGCCTGCAAAGTCGCAACCATGATCTGGAGAAGAAGCAGAGGAAGTCAGTTCAACTGCCTGTCCAGTTCTCTTGCATAAACACACATTGCAGAGAGCATATAGCTCTTTTCTCCTCGGATTAAGCAGCACTGGTCTACTCGCCTAATGCTAAAGTTTTCTTTAATTTGAACAGTGACTGAGATGTTCTGTAATCTGTGGAATTGCATTAGCTGAGAAAATGACTCAAGACTTTAAGCACTTGAGAAGCTATCACTGTGGCAGAATGTGATCTCTCCCCTGTGGCTAATTGAAGATGCTCTGTGGGTGAAATTATTTTCGGCTGCGCTTCAGAGAGAAAAACAGAGAATTACAACAAGCTGACAGCATGAAACACTTAGCTGTTAAGTTCACTAACCATAAGTGTTTCTGCCCTAGACAATTGAAGAAAACATTTTGCACATTATTACAACCCAATGGTAAATTGATGGCTATTAGAGGGGGACAGAAGTGGAGGCTAAAATAGAACCGATGATAGCCTGGCGCCTCCCGTATAACAAAGTCAAATTCTCTGAGTAACATACTGTGCACAGAAATGAATGATGCAGAGATCTATTTCTGACAGATCTTTCTTTAAGCTGATTTGTTAGTTTAGAGTTTAAAATATAAAATGGGTATCAGTTGTGCCTGCCAATTTCCCTGTTTGATAGTGTTAAAACTGTACTGTGTAATTAAAAATCTTTCCTACCACATTCAACTGATAAGGCTACGTTATTGTTGAGATTGTGTAAAACCAACATTTTTTTTGTATGTGTGTTGTGTGTGTGTGTTTTCCAGATTTGACCTGGAGCAGAACCAGGCTCAGGCTGAGGTACAGAGGGAAAGGAGCCAGAGGGAGAAGCTGGCTCGAGAGAAAGACATAATGACTGGTGAGATGTTTAACCTCCGCCAGCAGCTGCAGGTAGGCTTCTCTCCACTACATACTCCACATGTACTCTAATGCCCTCTCTTGGGGACAACATGTCTGATGTTTCTGCTCTCTGTATGATATAACTAGGCTGGTCCAGATGTATGTTTTACAGCATGCCTTCTGCCTGCAGGACAAGGACACTGAATTGTGTGGCATGAATGTAAAGGTGCAACAACTGGAGGCAGAGCTACAGGATTTGTCCTCCCAAGAGTCAAAGGATGAGGCCTCACTTGCCAAGGTCAAGAAGCAGCTTCGTGACCTCGAGGCCAAGGTGAAAGACCAGGAGGAGGAGCTGGATGAACAGGCTGGAAACATCCAAATGCTGGAGCAGGTACAGAGGGGTGCAAATATGGTTCAGCCAGGAGTTCTTCTTGCTAATTGTTGCATATGTATCTCTCTCTCTAATACATGTTTGTCTCACATGTCATTTAAATGTTATGTCTTCAGACTAAGCTGCGGCTTGAGATGGAGATGGAGAGGCAGCGGCAGACCCACTCTAAAGAGATTGAGAGTAAAGATGAAGACGTAGAGGAGATCAGGAGATCTTGCAGTAAGAAGGTAGCCACTAATCATTCTTGCAATTTCTGCAGTTTTTTTCTTATTTATGGCCTCTTTTTGTTGACTAACATTTACTCAGGGCTGTTTACTGCAGTACTCAGTAACACACTTTTTTCATGCTTGATTGAAAGCACAAAAAATAAGGGAATTTATGTTGATAATTTCTTTGTTGTAACAATGCTTCTGAGCAATAAATCTTATACTGTTGGAAAGCCTGTTTATTTCCCCTGAAATGGTGTCACAGTTGTAAGGAAAATGCATCTGTGGGTTTAGCACCTCAGTTGAGTATGTAGGTTGTGCCCATGAAAGACTTGCCAAATCTTTTCTGCCAGTGCCAAAGTGTTTATTCTGCTAGTGACTCTTGTTTGGTGTCATTTATTGAAGTCTATGATTGAAGTCTGAAAAAACAACCTATTGGCAATTAAAAAATTTTTTCATTTAGCAAAAAGGGAACTCGGTAGTATGTAGAAAAGCCATACACAGCCTGGCATCTCCTGCTCATGCTGGTCCCCAGCTTGGTCACACACTGCTGTGGGATGGCATCCTATTTTTCAACCAGCATTTGTTGCAAGTCAGCCAGTGTGGTTGTGTTGGTCACTCTGGCACAAACAGCATGTCCAAGCTGATCCCACAAATGTTCAGTGGAGTTGAGGTCAGCACTGCAGACAGACCATTCCATCCTCTACACTCCCCAAATACTGTAGGTCAGGGGTGTCAAACTCAAATACACAGTGGGCCAAAATTCAAAACTGGAACAAAGTCGCGGGCTAACGCTAATATTTATTGAAAAAAAATTCTTCCTCTAGATATAAGAATGAATCTTTTCTTATGGACTCAAACAAGTTTTGCTGAAAAACTGAATATGGAACAAGCAAAGCTTAATACTAAACAATATATATATTAACTGTATAATACCAGTAGGCCAGCTCTAATAGTAATTTGGTATGGCTTCGGGGGCCAAATGTAATTAGGCTGCGGGCCAAATTTGGCCCGCGGGCCAGAGTTTGACACCTATGCTGTAGGTAGTCTCTGATAAACCTCGCTCTCTGTTTCTCTGTGAGGAAGATGCTCCACCACACTATCACACTGCCTCCATCAAAAGCTGTTACCCTATCGGTGCAGCAATCAGAATAGTTTTCTCCACATCTTCTCTGCAATTTGAATCTATGATAGGTCCAGATTTTGCCTACGGCAGTCTATCTTTGACCATAATGTTCTTCCACATTTTCAGGTGCCAGTGCAAATGTTGCAGACACCAGTGCAAAGGGGCCTGACCATGAGGGGCAGTCATGGCAGGCCTCCTAGCAGCCCTATTAGATGGAAGTGTGAAGTCTTTTCTGGACTACCTGGGTAGAGAGCTATTAGCAAGTTTTTATTTTTATTTTTATTTTTTATGGGCACAACCTACCTACTCAACTCTGCTGCTCAACCTACAAAGGAATTTTCCTTACAAATGTTGCACCATTAAAGGGGAAATAAACAGGCTTCCCAAAGATATGAGATTTGTTACTAAAATGATTGTTACAACAAAGAAATAATTGAATAATTAAATTTTCTATTTACATAGCCCAGTTTATGAAGTTCCTGAATTCATTACTTTAATTTCACTTCATCTAGGTACACATGCTGTATTGCTGTATGCCTCCCTACGAGTTATAGCTGTGGGCAGGGATTTTTGGATGTCCATCCATCTGTCCCACAATTTGTGGACACTGTTTCTGCTGTATGCCTTCAGGGAATTTTTTTGAAACTTTGTATACATTTTGAATTGGTTCAGTTTTGGTCAAATGTCACAGTGACTGATGTGTCTTAATTTGGAGGCAGAAATAATTATAGGATTTATTTGTTGCTATAGGTTTGAGAATTTTATAGAACTATCTAATATGAAAAAACAAATTGGCTTTTGATCTTAATGGTTTAGACTTGGTGTCCGTCAAATTGAAGTGAGTCTGGATAGTCATGGATGTAAACTGCAATGGCTTCTTACAGTTGCAAGGCAGTCATTGCAACTGCAAATGTAATGTATTCTTTAAACTGTTATTTTATTCCATGTGTCTTATTAAGTAGAAAGAAGTTAAATGGATTTCTATATTTAAAATTTTTTAATTTGACATAATGAAGCATCATGTGTGATTAATCTTAAGGCTACCAGGTCTGCTTTTGGGGGATCTATTTGTCTTTGAGAGCAGCCGTGTCTAGCAGGACGGTCGATGGTGTGTAATGTCTGACTTTATCATGGATCCAGCATTTGTGCATCTTGACACTCTGTGTGTTCTACAGCTGAAACAGATGGAGGTACAGCTGGAGGAGGAGTATGAAGACAAGCAAAAAGTGTTGCGAGAGAGACGAGAGCTGGAATCCAAACTGCTGAATGCTCAGGACCAGGTACTGTCATTACTCTGAACATGTCCGTGTAGTCAAGTCTGTGCAATTTAGTGTCTGCCACTTGTTTTGATTGGAAAGAAAATGCTTTTGAGTCTCAAGGGTTGCTATAGGTTTTCAAGGAGGAAAGTAACGATGCTGGGCTATAAAGGAGTGGTTTGTCATTCAGGTGAGCCAGAGGGATGTGGAGACAGAGAAGAGGCTCAGGAAAGACCTGAAGAGAACCAAAGTCCTTCTGGCTGATGCACAGATTATGCTGGACCACCTGAAGAGTAATGCCCCCAGCAAGAGGGAGATCACTCAGCTCAAAAATCAAGTACATCCCTTTGAACATTTTGGCATCTGCCTGCGCCCAACATAGCACGGATGTGTAATATACTTAATGATACAACAACAGAAAGCATGCTTTGAAATGTGTATTATGCACAAATCAACACAAATGAAAAAATCCCAGATTCTGGAGCTCAGTTCCACTAACGTTTGTCCCTCACCTCCTTCCCAACACCTCTTCTTCCTCCTGTTTTCTCACAGCTTGAGGAGTCAGAGTTTACTTGTGCAGCATCAGTGAAGGCTCGAAAGAGTATGGAGCTGGAAATAGAGGACTTGCATATCCAAATGGAGGATATGGTCAAAGCGAAGATGTCGGTAAGTTTTGACATCTGTTAACAATGTATCCTGAGGGTGCAACATATGTCGTCAAGTGGAACCGCACAAATTGTGTTCCAATTACCCACTTGACTAAGCTTGAATGCCAATATGTTCTGCATATGTTTCTATTGCTGTATGTTTTTGCATCTGTAACTCAGTCGATATTGTGCACGATATCACACATTCATAGATAATGAAATGTACTTACCTTTTTTCATGTTCACTTTTGATGAGAGGGAAATAATTTGCATAAATGTTTCTATACCCTTCTTTTGATGAGCAAATTAAACCAAAAACAACAAACAATGTTTAATTAACTGAGGGCTGGTGCCTGTCAAATTTTCTCTCTTCAAAATACAGCAGGGCTCGAACATTAATATGCATACATCATCAGCCCATGGTGGAATATTAAAATAATAAATGCCCTTTGGCATATGTCGGATTTCAACATTTTGCTCTAATGGATAAATAAGCTTTGTCGAATGTGGTTTTGTTTTTTTTTTGCTTGCTCATTAATGGGTGTCTCATGAGAGTACTGCCTACATTTTAGACTCATGGACTGAGGATGTTTGTCTCTCTCGGGATGACACACAGAGTGCTATGTGCCTGTGCTTTGCTTGTTAATTGCTGCATTTATGGCAAGGGAAGGTCTTGTAAATGTCTGAGATTAGAGAATGCATATTGAAGGCCTGAGCCTCCCCCTGATCACAGAGGATGAACTCTAAATGGGACATCACCAGTATGCTGCACTGGCTGCACTTTTCCCTGCCTAAATGAGCCAATTGATTATCTCCAATTGGTCTTATCTTCCAGCCAGAACCCTGTCCAGATTGTGTTTCATTGCTATTAGATGAGATTCCCAGACTGCCACGGCCAGGCCAACTAATGACCATTTATCATATTCAATAGCTCATGAATAAATCCTGCCATTCTAAACTAAAGTGTGTGTTTCTCGCTCTGTTTGTGCCTTAGTTGGAGGAGCAGCTCAGCCGTCTGCAACGAGAGAAGAATGACCTGCAGTCACGCATGGAGGAGGATCAGGAGGACATGAATGACCTGATGAAGAAACACAAGGCTGCGGTAGCTCAGGTAGTCCTGCCTAAAACTTTAAACATCTGTTTGAATGCCAAGAAAAATGGAGTGTATTGCCTTCCGTTCAGCTCGAGAACTTTGTCAAGTATCTACTGTTAAGAACTTGGCTGTTCTTCAATACTGTTGCATTTGGTTGTATATTTTGTATTAGTGTAGTTGCACTTATTTTTGAAACATTAACATTATTTTCTCCAGTAGTGTCTTTGAAATTTGGAGGATATTCTCAGCTAAACATGGGGATATAATCTGTTGTACAGCAGACTACATGACCAAATATTTGACTTGGATATAATCTTGGACATTTGCATTGACAGTAATATAACAGATAACTGAGGCATACATGAACACCAACACACCTGACTCTCTGACTTTTTTTCTCTGTGCATGCATGCACGTGCATACTAGTCTGCCAGGGACTTAAGCCAGATCAGTGACCTGCAGGCCCAGCTGGAAGAAGCCACAAAGGAGAAGCAGGAGATCCAGGAAAAGGTAAAAAGAAGTATTCAAAAGCAATACAGCTCCCTGCCAGGAACCTGCCTGCTGCCTCAACACTTCTTTCTGATTAGGCTTTAGCTTTTCACTGTGTTCTCTGATTATTTTGACCAAAAATGCTTCCTTTTATGTGGTAGCGTGCTTTCTTCCAGCCATTGCAATTTACATGTAAATAGTAGAAATCAGAGAAAAAGTGTCAAGGAGCAAATTTCCCCCCTCAGAATTCTTACAGTATTTAAAGGAAGGGTGGAGTACATAAACTTAACAGCCGATCAAGATGGAATAACTATTTAGGTGAAGAAGTAATTTTAGTCCTTTCAACAATCATCCCTGAACTTCAGCCAACCAGCTTTGGTCTAAATGTTTTTTTCAGAATCAGAATCAGAATCAGTTTATTGCCAAATGTTGAGCAGGTTTACAACATTAGGAAATTGCTGCGGTGCTTCAGTGCAAACATAGTGTCATAAATTGCGATTAAATAGACATTTGTAGTTCTGTTGTTATTTCATTTTAAAGAAGAATATCAGGTTAATAAAGATGGCAATTGGAAGCAAGTAAGAAAATAGTGTTTTCGATATCAGCTATTGGTATGAAAAAAATGTAATAGCTGGAGATAATAGCAAAACCTTGTTACTGTGCAAGGCCAGTTTATTTTATGCATGATGCATGATGTATATGGTTACTCCAATCAAGTGAAAAACCCTGAAGATTCCTTTTTGCTCTGACACAGACACACACACAGCGGATGCTTGCAGCAGAGTCATGTTTGAAATGTCAACCCATGGCGTTGTAGAAACAGATGGCCCTGTGCCAGTCATTTCTGGCTTTTGTGTCACCCCAAGCACCAACAGCTAGCTAGTGTACCTACATGAACATTCAATAAAAATAAGTGTCACTGGTTAGGACTGCAGGCAAGCTAGTTGAATACTAAGAATTTTAGTCTGGCTTTGTCTTTCCCGAGTAAGCAATGCGTTCCCTAAAAACACGTGATCTGAAGTTTGGAACATACGTTGCTCCAAAACCTGTATCTTTATACTTTTCAGTATTAATGATGCCTTCACAGATGTGCAAGTTAGCTAGTGCAATGTGCTCTAATGTATCTGCCAGCCATCACAAATGCAGGCTTTTGAACTCTGTACTGATAGAAAGCCAAATGATACATCTTCTCTTTAGAACAGAAAACAAAGAAATCATAAAGAATTTCAATCCATCTTCAATGATCTCTGGCTCAAAAAAGACCCGGCTGTGTTTAAATTTTGTGTTTTGTTTTTTTTTGGGTTTTTTTCTTAGTGTGGTAGAATTTTACAGCAACTGTGTTCACTCACAGTGCCGAAGTATTCCCGAGCCCTTGTAGAGGTTTTCACTGAAGAATCTGAACGCATCTGTCCCCTGGTCGTAGATGTCTTTGGATTCTGTGATGTTATGTATTTTAGATCACAAATGAAAGATAATTTTTAAATTCTTGAACTTTTGATGAAAGAGCCCTCATCTTTTACTTCTGGAAAAGTCAGAAGATGCTCTTTTTGTGTCTCATTACAGATTTTTTTGCTGAATTTATAGTGAAAATCTTTTCAAGTTTTTGTTTAGCATTACACAAGTTGCCCATTTTTTCCCCCAACATTATGCTTATTAAAGTTTTACATATATACATATATAAAGTACATAAGTTGCCCATTTTGTGTAATATAGTGTTTGTGTTTATAGTTTTTGGTTTTGGAAAAGCACAATTAATCTGCAGGAAAATGTTTTTTTAAGACTCTGTGGCTGGGGAACTGAAATCCTATATCCATCTTTGGGTATAGTTTATTGAACTGTTGGACTTGGCATTATTTGAACTTGCTGTTTGGGCTTTATGTCTATAGTTTTCATTCTAGTTGCCAGAAATTGAATAAAGACTGTTGACTTTAGTGTTCACCTAAATCTTTCTCTAGCAGGTCAAAGTGTTCACTTATTTAGAGAAATCCCAAAAATGAATCGGCAAGTGCTAATGTTTACATGGCAATCATCAGCAAATTGCCATTGTGAGTATGCTAGTCTGCAGATTTTAGCACATATATCAAAGCCTTCCAAATGTGACAGATGGTGTGGCTAATGGTGTGGTTGCAAATTCCAATTCTTGTTTTCACACTGCACTTGCTAAGTCACAAACAGATCTGAATTATACAACTGTAATAAACCATAGTGTCCTTGCCTGATTTACCCTATTTCTGAGCTGATTGGTCAAATTACTGCATTTTGTGCTTGAGGTGTCTGCTAATGGTTGAGGTCTGGCATAAATGTGGATTCATGTGATACAAAGATTAATGCTTCTGATTCAGGCCTATGTTGATAAGTGCTTTTATCATGTTGTACTGATGGAATAATATTTGTTCAGAAGGCAACCTCTGTGTTCGATATGTCATGTATTAATGCATGCCTATTTCCTTTTTTGATGCATTTATTTACAAAATGAATTTCGTCTGGTAGATTAAATGTGAATTTAGCTTTAGCATGGCAAAGTTTAGCATAAGTGTGAATGCACATTATACGACCACAGCTTGGTGTTACTAGACTGTATTTTATGGCTGCATGGTGAACTAAACAAAATTGTGTGCTATAATCCCAGAATCAAAACACAGAAATAATAGCACACTGTTAGTTTTGGGTCACTCAAGGCCCACCCATCAGAATATTTTTGGCGATACCCAAGTAGCACAGCAGGGCTGTAAGGCATTGTTAAAACCTGTCAGAGTAAGCAGTGATAGCTATCTAAAGCATCTGACCTTGAAGTGGTTATCTTATCCCCAGTAGGAGAAAAATCTGGATTCTTTAGTAATATCAAAGGAGAACTCCAAATCCTCCTTGTCTCTGATGCAAAGTCCCTTATTAGGTGCCATGCTGGCTTTTGGACCAGTTTTGTTGTGATGTGTCTTTCTTCCTTTTATCAGTCATGAGAAAACCATTCAGATGGAACAAAAAAAAACAAAAAAAACGTGCTTTGCATGAAGCAAAAGCTTTTCTAAAGGCTTGTGAAATTACTGTGGCTTGCTGTTACTCAGTTTCAACAACAAGCTCTTCTTTTAACTATTTGTTGTACATTTGGGGCTTATCTAGAGCTTATTATTCACGCTGTATACAAAATATTTATATTTAGAGACTTGGATTACATTTATACAAAACTGCAATTTGGTTTTAATACATGCACACATCAGCACTTCATTTTAATTTTCACAGATCTCACTTAAGAGGGGGCGCAAAAACCAGAGGTCAAGTAGGTGTACAGTGGAAATTGCTCTTCAAGAGTGTTTATTTGTGTAAATATGTGTGTCTGTCCTCCAGCTCCATTCGCTACAGAACCAGTTAGAGTTCCAAGAACAATCCATGGTGGAGAAGTCACTTGTGAGCCGCCAGGAGGCTAAAATCCGTGAGATAGAGACCAAACTGGAATATGAGAAAACGCAGGTTAAGCGGTTGGAGGTAAGATGATGTGGACAAATGTGAAAGCCATGCATTGCCAACCTGTTAATTGGATTCTGACACTTAATTTCCTAGTAATTTTAAGACAAAGGCCTTAAAAAGAAAGTTATAGTGCCGCTTGCTTTGCTCCGTACTGTCTTTCTAGATAACAAAAGTGTCCATCATGGAATGAATTTAATTAGGTTCTTATAAAGACAGTCAGTTGATGGTCACCTTCCCTGTTATTCACCTTAAAAATGAATTAAAATGAATTTGGACAAAGGGCAACTCATAGCACTGTTCACATTTCCATTTTGTTATTATTAATGGCATAACTGACAGTGGCCAGCTGCAGGCAGCTGAGAAATTACTTAAAACAGTACAAAGAAGATAATTTAGCTTGAGTGTTGTTCACTTGTCTGTACTATATGTGCCCTTAACATGTTCGTCACCTGCTTCCCAGAGTCTGGTGGGTCGTCTGAAGGAGAATCTTGAGAAGTTGACGGAGGAGAGAAATCAGCACATCACTGCAGAAAACAGGGAGAAAGACCAGAATAAACGCACGCAGAGGCAGCTAAGGGACATGAAAGAAGAAATGGCAGAGCTGTCCAAGAAGGAGGCTGAGGCAAGCCGCAAGAAACATGAGCTGGTAAGGCCATGGGTGATTTGTGACCTTATGGTACTCACTGGTGTTTACACTGGAGGAGCTAACCATGCTCCAATCCATTCACCAGGAAATGGACATCGAGAGCTTAGAGGCAGCAAATCAGAGCTTACAAGTGGACCTTAAGTTAGCCTTCAAGAGGATAGGGGATCTGCAGGCTGCCATTGAGGATGAGATGGAGAGTGATGACAACGACGACCTAATTAACAGGTGAAGTGCAGATTTATTCTTTGTTTCATTAGATGCCACACTGCAATGTAGCTAGCTGCCTTAGGTACCACAGGGCATTCTCTTTGTATGTTGGAAGAAAGTTACCAAATGAGATGTGCTAGCTTTTTCACCAGGCTGTCAATCATAACATGTTCTTTCTCCTATGTCTTCCTGCTTCAATTTCTAACCTCTTTTGAACAAAGTCATACTACAGTCTGTGAGTTCCCCAAATACTTCTCAAATGGTTTAATTCTGCTCCATGCTTTTGATCTTTTGTCTCTTTGTTGTTTTTTCTGGTTTGGTTACACGTTTCCTCTTTGCAGTTGAGTTGAGGGTTATGCTGGCTCTGAGCCCTCAGATGTAAACACTAACTGCAATATTACAGACCTCTAAAAAGAAGACAGTGCACTCACCAGCTCTGTTTGAGCAGAGGGCATAGGTTGTTTTACTGCTTTACAGTACACAGTTATTTTATATGTGCTTAAATTGCTCTTATGTTCTGTCCTCCTCTTGCAGAGTTTCAGAAAAAATGTATCTCACGTTCTCTGTTTTCTTTTTCCTTTTGGTGTCTTCCACACTTCTGGCAGTTTGCAAGACATGGTGACAAAATATCAGAAAAGAAAGAACAAAACGTGAGAATGGAAAATGCTTCCTTTTGTTTCTGTCATTATGGTTGTTTTCAAGTTTGTTTTGTTTTTCTTCGGCACCCATTTTAACCGCAAGGGAGAATAATGCAGTATACCTTATCCTTTCATTCTTTTTGTTCACGGTAACACTGTGGGACGAAGTAATTTTAAATAGAATAGAAAGCAGTGTCTGTGTTATACGTCTCTGATAAAAGCTATGCTTAAAGGATGGCCCCGGTGTTTCATTTTATTTCGTGCCAAGTGTCTGGCGGTGTCCGTACACAGTCCGCCTCATTAGAGATTTCAAGGCTTGTTTGTTTGATGTTAGATGAAATGTAAACTAGAATGAAAAATGGAGTATAAGGCTAAATGTTGAAGTTTTTCCTCCTTTAAACCGTTCTCCCTGCTTTTGAAAATATGAACCAAAAGAAAAACCATTTTTTTAAGAAACGTGGTAATGCTGCATCATTCTCTCTATGAATAATTTTGCGTCAAACATCGTCCTCATTCACCGCTCACCACTTTGTTAAAATCAAGAGTTTGCATTTTTGCACTGACTTTTCTTTAATTGTCTTTTTGTTCTTCTAAAGCTTTTCCAAAGCACATGCAGCACATCTCACTGAATGCAGCACTGTGATGCATCAATGCAAAATAATAAATGTAATATTCATTTACTGCACTTTGCATGATAAGAGACTAGGGGTGAATGATATCACCTGTGTAATGATATGTGATGAAAATTTCCAATAATGGCTTGAACTGACAATACAGAAAGAAAAGTAGTGAGTCCTCCAGCAATGCTCGGTTAAATCAGTTGTTGGGTCACATACATCATTTTTGTCTTAAATGATGTAACAAGTTTGTTGTTTCCACTTTTAGCTGGAAGATGCATATTTTGCAAAGCACCATGCTTTGTTAGAGGTCGTTGAAGTAGCTCTATTTTAGGTACTAAATCGGCATAGGATGCTCTCATGCGGCTTTTGCTCTCAGACATGTCTGGGTTTGTTGTTGCATGCACTGGGGAAGGTAGATACATGGTGTTGCTGTAGCAATGATATTGATCATGTATAATCAGGCAGCTCTATAGGAGATATGTGTAGTAATATGAAACAATTACAATTCTGTGGTTGCCTGAATGTATCTTCAGTCATCTGCTTTTTTTCTGTGACAGTTTGGTGAAGATATTTTCAGTGTTTAATCTTATGGGAGTAATTTACATGTGCTCTGGAAAACCTTAAGCATGATTGTGTGAGTACTGCTTGTGAGTGTATGTCATGTCTGCATATACAGCAAGTGGTGTGAACAACACAGTCCACTACTTGAATGTTTTGACTCAAAGCTGAGCTTTTGATTTCCTTGTATTCAAACATTCTACTAATCCAATCTTATTTTACAGTACTGTGAAACATTTAACTGAAAATATAAAAGTTCATCTTGTCTCTCGTGTTAAATGTGGTTATTTATTTTTACTCAACCCTCTTTTCTTTCATTTTCAATGTAGTAAAAGGATTTTGGCATGCTGAATAATTAACTGTCAATGCCAGCATAATCTTCTGTTTATGGCAAATATCCATAGCTTTCTACATTAACCTTTGATTGCTTTTTCAAAGGAATATGCTATTGTGCCTTTATTAATCACTTTGTCTTTCAATTTTTCATCAAACAGTCCATGTGTATCCGTGCTTTGCCTTTCTTTTTGTGCAACTCGAGGCAAAGAGCAACGATTTGCCATGTTTACTTAATTACATTTTCCCTCCTTCGACATCATTGCATTAACAGCATGGATGAACAGTAATGGAGGTGGTGATTTTCTCCTAATTATGAAGTGGATTTTCCAGATGAATTACATTACTATTGAATATTTTGTACTTAATATTTCAAAGCAGAGGTTGCAATTCTTGGATTAATGGGATTGTAGTGTCATTTACATTTCTGATTGCAGCACAATACTTTGCAAGGCAAGAAAAATTACCTTTTTTGTCACCAGGTGATAATTATCCTTGAAGTTCAAGTTAATTACATCAGAGTGCAATGTGTCCACGGTTTGACGTAATTAGCTCTTGTACAATAAAGACCATAAATGTATGGTTTAATGTTTCTGTTATTTAGCACTTACACGATAGCACCAAACCATACATGATTTGATGCTGACTGTAAGTATTTGCGACAAAGATTTACAACCAGTGTAGACCAATTGTCAGAAGCGATTAATGTTCACGTCTGAAGTCTTGGGGCTTGTTTGTATCTGTGGGCCTCAGGACTGGTTAGCTAGTAGTGTGAGGCCAAGGACAAATCGTTTGTGACACCATTTGCACAGCACTCAATTGCAAGCCACCTTTTATTTTGCACGCCTGTGTGTTAGACTGAGGGTAGGAGATGGAGATAATTTTGCTGTGGGCTGGTTTCAGTATTTTGGTGTGTAATATATCATGTTAAAAAGTCACAGCATCAGGGAGATGACAAATGGGTAACATGTGTAATCAACACGCCGGTATTAACGAAGCTATTATCTCTCTTTTTTTTTTTTTTTTTTTTTCTGGTGGGCTTTTATCAGTTGTATTTACTATGCGAAAGAGAGTAGAGGGAGTGTGAAATGAAGGGCCGGCTTATTATAGCTTGACTTGGACTCACAATTTTCACCTTTTGCCTCAGAAGGCACTACTCAGACTCTGCAATGGGCAGGGTTCGTGTAGTAAAATTATAACCAGACCACTTAATCTCGCTGGGATCATCATTACCTGAAAATTGGCCCCTGAGTTAAGATATAAATGCTCTTAGAAAGCCTGAATAGCACTTAAAGAACCTAATGCTCCTGGCGCTCTGCGCTCACTCCCTGACGATGCCCTGCTTTCACGCAGACCACCACAAAGAATGGAAGAAAGAACACAATTTGTTCTGAGAGGAGAAAAAATGAATGTGTGACGCAGAGATTGGTGACAAAGGAGACACTACTCTCTTCAGTGGGAGACCTATGTAAATGCACATATGGTATCTAGAGCTATTATGGAGGCTGGAGCTGTCTAGCTGTCATCTCACACCTCTTGGAATACTGTGTTTGCACCTTATAAGCAGTTTGCCACATTTTCCAGTGCTCAGAAAGAAAAGCTAGTCCACAGAGACAGATCTGTTACCTACATTGCTGTTTGTTATTTTTAATGGTGCTCAGCTTGATATAGACACAAGATGAACTATATATCTACAAGTGTGATATGTGAAGCAATTATTTTAGATGGATGAAACGTGATTGTTGCAACGGTATCTTAGGTAAGGCGCTATGTAAGACAAAAAAAGATAAAGAGGAACTGCAAATTGGATCTCTCTATAATGAACCTTAATTTGTGTATTTAATATAGAGGATGTTGTCTTGAACGTAAGAAGTGTCTCTTAAGAATGTAATTTTCTGCTCTGCTCAGAAACACAAGTCAAACATACTTTATGCCTTCATAGCATATGTGTGTCTTTGCAATTTCAAAAGTGTGAAATGTGAAAATTTATTTTCACACATCATGCAGCCTAAGAAGGCAGTATATCTCGCACTGAAGGGAGGGGAGGGAAAAAAAGAGAAGAGGATTTTTCACTTAATGTAATTTGACCCCAGTGTCAGTATTGACTTAGAGGTTATGCCACTTTGCTCACCTCCTTGTGTCACTTTAACCTCCTAGGACAATGGGATGCATAACAGAATATTCACCAAAAAAAGAAAAAAAATCAACTGGGATCTGCTTAGCTCTTTCATCCAGATCTGTAGTTCTAAGTTTATTGATTGCCATGTCAAGCATAGGGCCATGGGGCTGTCTCAAGGCTCCACTCCAATAACAATCACCAGGGACGACAGGTGACAAGTCACACAGATGCTAGCAGCTTGGAACCAGCCAAACAAGTTAATTATACTTCCAGGAGCTTCATCTGCATACCGCCTTTTCACTAATGCATTTGCAGCACATTTGTCTCTTGTACGGACACCAAACTGTTGCATGGCGTCATACTAACCCCTATTTTTATATGAGAGAGAAATAACTGTAACCTGCTAACAGAAAGTTTTTAATATGTGAAATCAAACACCTTTTTTTTTTTCTTGGCTGTGTAATTTATGTAATCTGACACTATATAAAATACTTGATGTATTTCTGGAATTTAACATTAAACAGCCAAGTGACGATCAAAAGAACACATCCCTACATTTCTTCTTTGTGTGGAAGATTGTTCTACTTAAAGAAGAAAAATTTTAAGATGAGTATTTTTGCTGTTGGAAAGCCCTGGATGCTCTATATCAACTCTAGCTGATTTGGTTTCTTCACAGTGGAGAGGAGATGGACACAGATTCAGAAGTGGAGGACCGTGTGGACGGAGTTAAGTCTTGGCTCTCCAAGAACAAAGGCTCCTCCAAGACCATGTCACAAGAGGGAAGTCTGAAGAGCACCAGGTTAGTGAAAGCTTTCCATGCTTTTTGTCAGATGACCGTATAATTCCCCATTATAACAGTGATGAAACTACCCACATCGCCAGCCTTAAAAAGGCCCACGATTACCTGGGGCAGTTTGCAACAGAAGGATGAGTATTTCATGTGATTAGGTGTCATCTCTCTCTCCCGGTAATCTGTCTAATGACAGGAGGCAGGATGGGGAAGCGGCTGCTGTCAAATTTATTGAAGTGGCCCGTGGCCAGTTGGCACGCCTGCAAAATGACGCCTCTACCACAGTTAGATAGATCTTCTCACTGGTTGATTGCCTCACTTTCTACAGTGTACACTGTGCATAACAGCAATAGCCAGAGGTACTGGATGTGTTCCCTGACTCTTGAATGGTTTCAAGGACAAAATGAAAATGACAGATTTATTCTATAACAAATTGACATCAGTGTGTCAAAGTATGAAAATGTAACCTTTCAGTTACCACATATAAGCTGTCATAGTTGTCATACATCAGCTGTGAATATTTCACGAAATTAAAATTGAGAGTTCCGGCTTTAAATACACAGTATTTTTCTTCTTGTGTTCTCCTGGTTGTCATTTTTCTTATGCGACTCTTTAGATATTCAGCAAATGCAGATGCCAAAGAGATGAAAGAAGGTAAGGAGAAGATTAATGACAAAGATGGGAAAGAGGTAGAGCCGAGCAGATCGGTGTCTGTCCTGAGCTCTCTGAGCTACCGGAAACGCTCCAATCTGAAGGACTCCATAGGAGGTACAGGCGATGACAGCTCCCTGTTCAACACTCTCAAAGAACAGCCTGACACACTAGACCATGCCTCCATTCGAAAATCTAAATCAAAGTCTGGAGACCTTCAGGAAGATTGGAAGAAGAGTCAGTCACAGGAAGACTTAGAAGACAAAGGTTCTGTCATCTCTTTAGCCTATTCTGAAGCCACCAGCAGAGCCAGGAAGGGTTTGGAGTCCCGCTGGACTTCACGCAGCAGCCCTGAGTTTGATAAAGAGTCCATGGTATCCTCTGTGGGTCCCAGTAGGATGTCCACCCGGAGAGCAATGATGGACATGGACGATGACAATAAGTCAACTATCAGCAGTGTGAGCCGATCCAGCCCTCGATCGCTCCATCGCAGCACATCTTGGAAAGATGAGAGACGCAACAGCTCTCGCTTGTCCGTTGCCCGCAGCTGTGGCCTGAGTGAGTTTGGCCTACACGTAGATGACGATGATGACGGCCAGAGTGTTGCTTTTAGCAGAGGGGGAGCCTCGCCTTACAGTCCCCGCTCACGCAGTCGCAGCCTTTCTACATCAGCTCAAACACGCTCATCAGACAACAATCCGCTTGACACGTCAGACATTAAATTAGTCACCCATCGAAACTACTTGGACCCTGACCTAGAGGCTGCAATTAATGAGGTGCTGAGCTTCAAACCTATTAAGTTCAAACGCAGCAAACTTGATGAGTCTAGTGATGAGGACAAGGATGAAAAGATGAAACAAGTGAGTGAGGACAGTAGGAAGAAGGTTGAAAGTGAAGGGCTGGGCTGCAGCACTTCTAACCCGCTTCGTTCTTCATTAGGCTCTACTCTGGAGCACAGTAACAGGCCAACAAGCACCAGCAGCTCTCGTAGTTGTCTAGATAAAAAAGGTAAAGTTTCATCATCTGAGAGCTCCTCATCGTCAGATGACCATCACAGCAGAAAGAGCTCAAAGTTGAAAAAGGGCAAGAAGAAGTCCAAGAAGAGCTCTAAGAAAAAAAGCGAATCAGAAGACTCTTCATCCTCTTCAGAGTCTTCATCCTCCAACTCAGCCATCTCCTACCGCAGCTCCAGTAGTATTAAAAAGTGCCCTAAACAAGAATCTGATGACGACGAGAAGGAACTTCCAGGTCATGGAAAATCTAGCAAGAAGGAAACAAAGAAGAAGCAGAAGAAAATGGACAGCTTGGTGATGAAGTACCTGTACAGGCATGACAGTGACTGATACTGAACGAAGGTGATACTTGGTGTGGTGATAACCCCGAGCCTGCCATAAAGTTTGGTCATCTGACTTAAAATACTAACGTTTGCTATGTGTGACAGTTTCTTTGTTTTTAGTTTGGTTTTTATTCATCATTTTGACTAAATGGTCCGTGTGAAGAACAAATGCTGATTTGTACTACTACCAGTGTTCTAAACATGACACAGGCCTATTGATGCCTACCACCGTTTTTCCTTTGCTTGTACTGACATTTGTCTTAATTTAAGCTTCACATTTTTCCATACACTGTAGTGATGCCTCTGGTTTGCATTACACAAACTCCTTGAGTTTTATTTTTAAATTCCATTAGAAACAACAGTTTATATTTAGGTTTAAAGTAATCCATCACTGCAATTCATCAGATTCTTTTTAGCTTTTATTTGTCCCGCTCCAAGGCATCACAGGCAGCACACTGAAATATTTGTCCTGAAATAGTAGTGATATAAAGCAGTGTTACATTCCTGTGTGTTTTTTATTTAAAAAAAAAAAAGCATCTCTGCAAATCTGAGTGTTTTTCCTAATGGTGTTTGAGATGGTGTTTTGCACGCATAGTATTAAGAGAAGAGTGTCTGCCTGTGACTGTTCCTCTAGCACAAACTGATAAACAGATGCTGGCAATAACGGGGAAAAAATGTAATTACACCTATTTTTCTTTTTGCCTGTTAACTGTGAAGAGTTCAGGTGTGACGTGACTGTGGATATTATTTGATGTAAACATGTGTAATATATTCTAAAATTAGCTCTGCCTCAAAAGCTATCTATTTTGAGTTCCTGATAGCATCTCTTGTTCTTGTCATACTTATGCCAGCGAACTAATAAAGGCCAGTTTTCTGTATGTGTTAACAATTTAGCCTTAAAACACAGCTCTCTGTGTGCTGTTGCTTTTGCTGTTGCAAAATGGTCAAATATTCATTTCACACTTCATTAAAGTAAACCTACTTGAAAGTAAATATTAGGACATTTTGATTTTAACTTGTATTGCTTGTTTTGATACATCTTGCTGCTCTGGAAGCTAGTTACACAGGTGGCTTAAAGCAATCTGGTTATATATTAGTTTTCATGGATATAGCTAGAAGGTAATCAAATTATAAATATGTTAATTTGCAAGCACCCCTTTTATCAAATTTTTAAAAAGTATTTTTTAAATGTTAGTGTCCTTGGCTTATGTACTGACACAGTTCATGGATGAAATGCAGCATTTTGTATGTTGAACATGCAGTGCAGTGTACTTCAAGCAGATGTCTAATACTCAAGGACACTCATGTGTGTTTAATCAGAAAGATACTATTTTAGTGTTAAAGAGCCTGTTTCAGTGGTTTTTCCTTGTTCTCATTAAATTGTATCTTAATGGAAGTATTCATATACTGGAATCTCTGCAGTAAGCTAAGCTGCTATCAAACTAGTGCAATGAGTGATTCTGATGTAATGAGTTGTCATGACAATGGATTCTAAGAATGGCTCCAGGTAAATAACCTTTTTAATGAGTAGAGGCAGAAGCAAGGCACAAGCTCACTGAATGCTGTGTTGGTTCTGATTTAATCTCTTCTACATTTAACCTACTAACAGCACATATTTACTAATATTTGAACATGGTGCCATTACAATACTTCTGCATGTAATTTTTAAGCATTTAGCTCAATAAGAAATTTATTTTAATGATTCATAAAGTTTTTTTTATTGGTGTCCACAGAGCTAGAATTTCTGTGACGCAAAAAGAGGGAAACCATGCTAACATAGTGCATGCATGTCTTGCTCATTTAAGAGTTTATTGACTGGAAAGAGTCAGCCAAGAGTTTTGTATCTTAAAAGCTGTTTTTTTTTCTTTTCTTTTTTTATGTGCGTTTGCTTTTTTTTATGGGGCTATAAAAGAAATCGTGTTCTAATGTGTCTGTATGTGTATTGACCCCTACAGCCCTCCTGTACACCGGAGAGATGCGAGTCTGCCCAGATCAGATGAAGAGGATGAGGTGGACAGAGATGGGGGGCAGGCGCCGAGGCAGATCAACTGCGAGGGCTCGCTGGCAGAGAGCTCGTCATAATCCACAGCCTGTCAACCTTGGTTTTTCAGTGACACCAATCGCACAACAGGGACACAGTTCTTTTCTGCTAACTTTATTACTCTTTCCCAGCCAATAAGAACAGAAATGAGGCACACAAAGAATGCTTTTTGTTGAGTAGGTTAGCTTGGGCATTTCATTATCCTCATTGTGGCACACCTAATAACATCATAAAATTATTTTGCTTAAATTATGCTTCTTTTAAGTATTATTTGAAAGAATATTAAAATGAAGGACTATCAGAAGAACCTTTGTGCTGCTGCTTTATTTATAAGAGCTGCTTTTCAGGCATATTTAAGCACCCCTCTGCACTTTTCTGACTTTACAGATAGCTCTGCCAAGAGGATTTAGATAAGCCTGCTTTGGTTTTGGACTTCTTCAAGAAGGTCTGACCAACTATTAAGATTATTCTTATCTTTTCCATTAATGTAGACTACTGCAGTGGGAGGAATTAACCTCTTTTTAATTAATTATCTCACTGCCCGTTTACATATGGCTCTTGTTGCAACTTGAGATATTCATAATTTTAAGAATGTGAGGTTAGCTAATTATTGCTGACAGGAAAAAAAAAAAACAGACAAAACTAAAACCAAGCTGTTAGGGTTTTAAAGATGACCTATGTTGGAAATTCTGAGAAATGGAGTTAAGTTAAGATTTCAATGTGCATTGATAGTTTAAATGGATATCTACTATGTTGAATCAAATGCTTTAGATGCAACTTAGATAAAATTGAATAAAGCTACAAGTATTTTATTGAGATGAAGTTTGCTGTATTTTTGTGCTACTTGAAGTTCAAAGGGAATGCATTTTTTTGTTGCTAATAAAGCTTCTTTAAATAATATATCCCACAGGAGATTATTCCAGTTTTTGGATATATAATAAAATGAAGTCTGTTCTGATCTCTCCGTTGCTGATTTTACTACTTTAAAAGTGTACGATGAAGATGATCTTTAGAGCATTTTGGGCAAATTGGCTTAAGCAAATAATTCCATACCTTTTTGCTATTTCAGGGTGCCAAATATGACATGGATTATATTCTTATAAATAGTTAATGTTTGCATATGAGAAAAGTTTGGGTTGGGAATGTAAAAGCAGCCCTTAAAATCATATTCCTTTCTTTTATATTGAGGCTCTTTCTCAAAGCTGTCATTTTGAATGTAATTTAAAGGATCATTAGAGCCATATGTTAAAATATCAGCAGCAGGATTTGAAAGATTCTTCCTTGTGTTGGGCTTTTTTCATTCAAAGTACTGCCAAAATACCTTTAATTAAAACCACTCTGCTCATAAAATGTAATACTTGTATGTAATTTCAGATGCACAGAGGTATGAATTGATTTCTTATTGGCATTTTTTTTCTTTTCAGGCACATATGAAAATAACTGAATACTTCTTCATTTAACCTTGATAATGATATCCTTAGTGTGATGTAATGGATTTTAATGTATGGGCTTTCTGCTCATGCGAAGAAAAGCTTGAAGTGTCTGTCTTACTATTAGCATATTATTTTCTCAGTTTTCTTTTCTATGCTTCAGACATGAATATTAATGTGGAACACAGGAAACTTTGATGTCAGTTTTTCAGAATAGACTTGTTAAATGAAGAAGAAGAAAAAACCCTACATTTCATTGCCTCAAAGTTGGAGTAACTGACTTTACCAGATAATACTTCAAAACTTTGCACTTCATCGTATCTTTTTAAAAGGCTTGTCTATTTTCATTATTGAACAGATTGCCACATGTTATATGCGTGATCTCAGAGGGATTTTTTTTTTTTGGCAAAATAAATTCTGCTGTTTACAAAAATCTGTGTTGGCTCACTGTAATTGCATAGAGGTATAATTTGGATTCACATTAGTTTGAAATTCACCACTATCAGAAAACAGTTGGAGAAATGGTTACAAAGCAAGGAGGACAGGTTTAGTTTAAGAAAAAAAAATCTGATGTCTGATTAATTTTAGCTCATCTGCTGCATGGAAGTGTCTCATCATACCCATCCAGTTTTCCCAGGAGAGCACAGAGGAAACAAGCAATTCATAGAAATGATTAATTCCGAGTAGATGGGGAGGCAGACTGAATGTTGCTCACACTTAATTTGACTGCTGCACATCTACACAGTTCAAAACCAAGCCTTGGGCAAATTCAGGAAGATCAAAAACCTGAGTGCAAGCATAGTCTTCCTTCCACATCAATCTTTATTCTACATAGGCAAAGCTTACCTAGATTCAAAGGGATTGATGGGTTTTAGATTACCACCTTGGTTGACATTCACACACAGTGTGTTTTTGCTTTAAAGAATCCCCCTATTTATCCAACCAATCTGTAATCCTCGCTCCTATACACAACCTGTTCTGCTGCATCACTCTGTGCCAGGGAGCTTTTGCTGTAATTTCACTTCACTTGCGTGCACCCTCCGGATGGCTGCATGTTTCTGCTTAAAGGCTTTCCATTGAGTGACAGATTAAATTCTGCTCCCGATTTTACTTATTTTGGCTCTAACACTGTTTCACAAGCCACTGGAGCAGGAAGTCATTAGCTCAACAAAGCCAAGCAAGTCTGTGTTTACGGTGCCACCCTCCCTGTTATTTAAACAGAGCGGTTAGACCACAGACATTTGCTGCGCTGGAAGTCTAAAGCTGCACCTCCATGGACAACAGTGCCCCATACAATTATATAGCATGCCAGGCTTTTCATTTAGCTTATTAAGTAGAACATCTGAATATTTGTGTTTTCTAGTAACCTTTAAGCATCGCCTTGGATGAATTTCTCTCAAAAATATTCACGGTACCTTCTTGCCTCCCCCAGCAAGATTATGTGCCAGCATGGACAAAGATGCACCTTTTCAAAATGACAAAGCTGATGGAGAGCAGCCAGACACGGTCACAACCGACTCTTAAATAACACTGTGTGCCAGCATCGGCATAAGCAGCTGTGTTCTCAGAGCGTCTTCACATTTTGACCTTGGTTGGAGGCCATCCTGCCAGGCTGTAAGATATGTGGGGGTGCAGTTAGACAGGAGAACATATTTATCAGGCATCATCCTCAACTATTAGTGCTTCCAGTTTCCTGCTGTATGCCTGCTGTCAATAAAGCACTGATTGGAGGCACTGGGACATTGCCTGCAGGGACCAGGTGAGGAGGCTGCATTCATTTGCAATTCTAAGATGAAAAGAAGCAGCAGAGTGTGCTGCTTGGGCGCCTCTCTTTGTTTGCACATATCATTTCCACTCTAATGAACACGGCGCAGTAGTGGGGCCTCAAGGCTCAAAGGTAGGTGCAAACATTGTTTACATTTTGCATAGGTCTTCTGTGGGCCTGGGGGACCATTAAAGGATTTTTTCTTCCTGTGTGGGACTTACCAAAAAAAAAAAAAAAAGGCAATGGGGAATCTGTGATTTATTTTGTTTCATGCCCCTCTAATACCTAAGCACGCTTTAAACCCCCCAAACAAATTGTGGGAATCCTTGGAGTGTTAAAAAAAATGTCGCAGCGTCTACCACCAATTTCAATGTCGGATTTCTCCCTCTCTATCTCCACTCCACACTATGCAGGTGGCCAAAGCCTCCCACTGTGCTCAGAACTGTTCAGTGCTTAGTGTCTCTGCCAAAGGAGAGTTGCTACCCCTGCCACTGATGTATGTGTATGTGTGTGTCTGGGTGAGAGGGAAATGAAGTCTTAGGATGTAGTCTACAGCAGTCCACTACATTTAAGGGATTTGAAAATGCAAATGGTCATTTTCTCTCTCTCCACAGCATTTCTCTGTGGTAAAAATGTTAGCAGAGTGTGCTGCTTCACCAACGCTTTGTGCTCTCGGTTCTTCACAGTGATGGGATTTCCTTTGTTTCCTTTCACCTTCTGCTGCAATTATATTTTTTAGTCCTGCAAGCCTCAGAGACAGATCCAGGGTTGTCCTTAAATCCAAGTGTTAGATGAACAAATACCCACATGGTCGTCTCTTATTTCTTATCTGACTGTGGTTTGCGCATTTTATTTTGCATGTCTTTCTAAAATGATTTGTATACGCAACACCTACTGTGAACTATTCATTTAATGAAAATCTGTTTCAATCATAAGGCACCAAATCACAGCCACAGTCGCCTCAAGGTGCCTTATATAGTAAGACCCAGCAATAATAGAATTCAGTGAAAGTTGATAAAATCAAAACATATAAAAACTTAATCAAATACACTCCCCCTCTAATCCGAATCTCTATTTCATAGGTCATAGAGATTGACAGGCCAAACACATTATATGACTCCTGCTTTAATCTTAATGCTTCCTGGGTGTTTTAGAGGTCATCCACAGTCTGACCTCTAAAACTAAGCTTTTTATTTCATCATATCCTGAGTGGAGCAATCATTTGAATATAATCTTCTACACCGTTTTTTTTTTAAATTTTAAATTTTAAAATCATGTGTTTGGTTTTGTGCAACGACGACATGCACACAGCAGTAATTTAAATGTCCTGAATCTCTTTCCTCATTTGCTCATTTCTATTGTGAAAAAGCAACTTGATCAACCATATTAATTGTGGCCAAACAGATGGGAGGGTTGACATGGGCGAGGATGGTGACAGAGATTTGCGTAGGAGGCTGCTGGTGTAGCTGTGCTGCTTTCTTACACTGATAAATGCAGTGATAGATTACTAAGTAGCCCTTGAACTCTCTGGAAGGGGCGTTCACTGCTGCCATTGGTGTACCTACAGGCTGTCAGTGTTAATGGGAGGGAGGTGTGAAACCACAATGCTAAATTCCGATTTCCCCATCTCTACATTTGTGAATAGGGGCCTGTTTCTAATAATCCCTACATTTTAGATCCCACTTCCACCCGTCGGGGGGTGTGGCATGTTGTTTCCTGAGAGCTGCTGCTATGCTTTCCCTTCATGGTCAACACATTGCACAGAAGCTCGTCCCCATCCT